AAAAAATTTTTTTTTTTTTTTTTTTTTTTTTTTTTTTGTAACACGAAGAAATTTTTTGCTTAAAATTGCTGAAAATGTTGACAAGTACCCCTTCATATGATATAAAATTTTGAAGTAAATTGTTTAGTATATATTATCACAATCGTTGATTAAAATTGATAATGATGAAACCTAAAATCATTCCTGCCCATATTTAAATTTATGGATAGAAAAATAATTGACAGAGAAAGAAAATGAGAGAAGCATTTTTTTAAAAAGAAAAATACGTATTTATGAATAAAGATTAAAGTTTTTTTAAAAGGAAACTATACCTCTGACTCAAGTCGGCACTTGTCGCCAACAACATTGTCATGTGAGTTTTTGAGTTTGTTGTATTCTTCCTCAAGCCTTTTGTTCTTCCATCGTGCACGACGGTTCTGAAACCAAACGGCCACTTGGCGAGGATCAAGCCCTAGTTCTGCCGCAAGTTTATCTTTCCTCTCCGACTCAAGCTTGTGCTCATCACCAAAACTCATCTCCAACATGTTCACTTGCTCATCGGTAAGCTTTCTCTTCCTAAAAAAACAGTTGCTTACATCTCCAGTAGCCACGGCTCCTTTGCTCTTCTTCCTCCTTCGCTTTGGTGGCTTCACTGCTCCTACCGACCAAAATAAGATAAAAGCAAATTAGTAATTTGCTAACAAAAGAAACATGACAAATACTTATCAGAAAAAGAAAAGAAATTAAGCTTTGGATTTTTTCTTTACTTTTTAGTCTATTGATGTGTCATGACTTTTCTTTTTTGGAAGACTCAAATAGATAGCCCACTTGAATTTGTATAACAACTTATTCCATAATATTTGGAGGGAGAGTTTCAAGACTTTTATAAACAACAGAAAATATTGAAATTTTTGGATAAACTAGCTAACCCATCACTTTTACTTTAACATAAAAGTTCATTGAATTGGGGTATCTAGAAATTGAAAAAAAAATGATTGACATTTACCTTGTTGTGGTAGTATCTGAGTGTAGACATCAGGGTAGAGCTGAGAGATAAAAGCCAAGTTTTGATCATCCATAGTGTGGTTCATGTTCTTGGATCAATCTCGTTCTCTCGTATTTTGTCTCACTTTTTATGAATTGTGAGAAGTTGTATTGGGGGAAGAGGAAGGCCTATGCTTTATAAGGTGCAATCGATAAGGTGTGTAGGTGCAAAGAAATGAGTTTTTTTTTTTTGTATGAAGTGTAACTTTCCTGATGTGGGGTTCTTCTATTTAAAATTAACGAAAATGCCACTACACATAATTACTCACCTAAGAGCATGCCCGGATCTCGTGAGCTCGCCGTGGTGAACCCGGATCGTTACGGATTTGCCACATGGCGGGTCATGATTCGCCGAATTTTTTTTTTTTTTGAAAAAAATCAAATGAAAAAAAAATAAATTAAAATCTAACCTAGAATTCTGTGCCCAGCAAGAATCATTGATGGGCATGATTTAAGAGCACCCCCATCAGTGAACCGATGAGGGGAGGTTCGTAAGAAAAAAAAATTAATTTTTTTTTTCGTTTGCTTTTTAAAAAATAATAAAAAATAATAATGGACCCATCGCGGACCGCCACGTGGTGTGGGGTCCGCGAAACAGTGTTGATTCGGGCTCACCCCAGTGATCCCAAACGAGCAAGGTTCATAACTTTTATTATATTTTTTTTCTTGGTTTTTGTGTAAAACACCCTATTAAACCTTCAATGGGGATGCTCTAAGCCTCGTTGTGAGTGTTGTGACTTAACGAGTAGATATGAGAATTAATTTTCAACAATGTAAGAGAAGAGAATAGCATGTAATAAACTCAATGACTGATCCGAAAATCACATAACTACTCACCTAAGCCTCTCAGTCATTCGCTTAAACCTCATGTAAAAGTAGTATTTTGAGAGATCAGTTATAAAAAATGAAACAGAGAAATGAATAACAACTGCTAGCTAGTTTTTGTCTTTATTTTGTTTTCCTTTTTATATTATAAACAACGTTCTTTGTTAAAATGAGAGAAGTCTTAAATGTAGTCTGTATATGTGTGTGTGCAGCAGATACATAAATTAAGATTGCAAGCAATTTCTACATATCTGTGTGTTGTGTATATGCGTAATTGATACATAAATTGCAAGCAATTCTTAGATGGTGCTTCGACTTTCAAAATACACACACATACACATACTTACATGCACACACACACCATTGCATGGATAAGTCTTCAACAAACAAAAGGAAAAAAAGAAGTCAAAAGCTTAGGCACGTGAACTTAACAAAGTGAAAGTCATTTACTAAAACCGAATGATACGTAATGTGTTGTAGTAAACAATATTTGCGAGCCTCTGCGAACCTAAATAAAAAAAAAAAATAGAGGGAACACCAGTATGTAAGGGATTGGCATATGAGACTGTTCTGTCCACTGATAGGCCATGCACTGGTATCAATGTCCTCCACGACCCAATTAGTCCCGGCCAATTACTACTTTAGACTCTATTTCTCTTTAGTTTTTCTTCTAATTCGTGTTTAGGGATCAATGGCTAAGAAATTTCTTTATTATATTTGGGTAAAGATAGTCGGTGTCCTTCTATTCGTTAGCAGATTAGGGTTGGAAAATAAGTCATAATTGGCTTGTCTCATAGTTTATCATAAAATTAAGATTTCAGTTGACAACATTTTACTCCACCGGATGAAAAAATCGTAGTATATATGAAAAACATCTATTGGAACTAGATTAACAAAATGAAAAGGCCATATATATACATTTAGACAGTAAAAACTTCCAAGAAGAAATATTATAGTACTCTGTAAGAATGAAAAAAAACTAAACTAACTAAAAATGAAACTTATTATTTTATTTCGTAACTGAAAAAAATGAAGAAAAAGATGGCCAGTGAGGAAAATAATTACTTAAACTATTTTCTTAATTGGCATAAATTCTAAAGCCAAAGTGGATATTCTTGGGGATCAAATGAGAAAAATATAGAAACTTTTTAAGTGATTGGAGTGTATACTTGTCGTCATCTTCCAACTCCTCCCTATCAAATCATTAATTAGTTTCGGTTAATTATCTCAAAATGGGTTTAAGTCCATGTTTGTGATGTGAATTACTTGTATATGTGGACAAATGGCTACCGAAATTGGGGTTAAAGATATTTTTAATGCATGTCTTGAGGATAGATAGTGCGTGCTTCCAACGTTGATCATTTAAATTTTTATTAGATTGTAAATATATTTTCGGAGTTAAAACTTATAGAATAGTTGTCAACTATCATCTACTCAGTCAGTCGATATTCCTTTTATTGCTGTTATCAGTTTGTATGGATTTATACCGCTTAACACAACATAAATTGATCTTTAGTTAACATAATATTTACTACGAAAATAAATTTTCAGAAGAATAATATTAAATCATGGAATGAAGAAAATGTCTGTAGCTAAGGTTTAAAATGGAATCTTCGAGAAACTTTTAATATATTGAAAGGAATACAACAACTGATGCATGTTTTAACTGCACTTACCTATCCATATTTCTGACTTGTTTTTTTTTTTACATTTTGCTGGAAGAAACGTTAGATGGATGATAAAACATAAAAAAATTTAAAACAAATATTCAACTCGATTAATCTCACGATCCAAAGGCATCGTGTGGGTATCTTGGTTTATAGATGGTGAATTTATTGTGTCACGATTTGTAATCCTTTTCTTTTGTGTATTCTGAGAGGATGTAAAGAGAGAAAAGGGAGGATAAAATTAAAAGTACTTAAGGAAGGCATATGAAAGGAATACAACAACGAAACGTGGCGAGTAACAACACTATAATGTACGTATTATAATTTTGTTGGTTTTAAAAATTCTTCAACTACATTAATTTAATTTTAGAATATAAAGAAGAAGACAATGGTAGCCAAGTCCTTCTGTCTCCCTCTTTCTTCTGCTTAGTGTGTGTCTGCTTTAAGAACACTGCCATATCACTTAACATTTTTACTCCTTTACATGTTCTTCCAATCACACCCTCACATCTCTCCCCCAGTTACATCCCCAAAACATAATTTTTTGGAATTGTTAAAGAAAGTTTTGTAGAACAAGTTTGCTTAAAAGACTACATATATATCCGAGGACGTCCATATCGAAACTCACAATATTGATATTTAAAGCACCACCCAAAAAGTATATGGCATGTGATGATACGCACCATGTTATTGGAACTTATGGTAGTGATTGGAGACATTGTGCGGTGCGTATTTGAAAGCGTATTTTGAAAACCGCACTTCTAACACCAATCAGAAAAGTAACTAAAGAATTTGCGGTTTTGTGGGGATAGAATAAAAACCGCTCGCGGTTTTCGAAACATGTGAAAATAGTGTATTAAATGAAATAATGCACTTCAAATTTTCAAGCATGCAATAACCAGCGGATTTACCAATTACGCACTCGACAATATCTTTTCTTTTTAATTGACAATACATTTTCCCTATAACTATTATAAAATAATATAAGTATGTTATAAATATGTCATGTTACGTAGTGAACTGTGCAATTTTAATAAAGCTACTCTATCATTTGAACGACTAATTTTATTTATTAACACTACCGATTCTTTTTTGCTTAAAAATCATGTCGATGTGTATTTTAACTTTACCTAATAATATAAACAAACTTAATTCATTTTATTCACATTGAATTTGATATACTAAATTTAATTTATATAAATTTAATTTAGTTACAATTAATCATTCATATTTTACTCTTAATCAACCTAAACTAATTCAAATAACCCAGTAGAAACAAACTGAATATATTGACAGCACCTAATTTAATAAATAATTTAATTAAATACATAAATTACAGTCAATGTTTTTTGTTTGTACTGTATTTATAATTTATATTTCTCATTGACCAAACAAATTTAATATTTAATTAGACTATTTTATTATTATTATTTTTTATCAAGAAAGCGGTGCGTATTTATTTAAATCATCCATATTTATTTTAAAAACAGATAGAATTTACATGTTTTATTACATGAAGACTATGTAAAATCAAGTTCAAATTAATAAAATAGATGTTATAAATAAATATGTTACCATTCATACATTTTTTATTATATAAAAATGAAATTTTATGTCTGCATTTAATTAAGCTAATAATGAAAATAAAATTTTTAATTTGAGGTATATTCATTTTCAAAAATATATATATTTAAGACATTTTAATTTAAAGTATTTTTATTATATTAATACCTTATATAATTTAATTATACTATATATTTAACATCCACTATTACTTTATTAATTAAATAATTATTCAATACCGCAAATACATACTATCACCAATCAAACAATACTTTTTATAAAAATCCGCAGTTGTACCGTACCGCACTTCAATTCCGCACGAACCGCAGTTGTACCGTCTCGCAGTTTAATTCCGCACCGCTTTTATTACTAAATCCGCCGTCACCATTCGGAGCCTATATGTGTGAGTCATTTACAAAACTTAATAAGGATTGATGATGTTCTTAAAACTTCAAGGGTATATTTAGGGTCTATCTAACTTGACAGTTGTTTTAATCTATATGTATTTTAGCAAAAGAAAAAATCTATATGTATTGAAAGTTTGAAACTGTTAGACATTCTACATATTTAGCTAAATGTGATAAAATATGTTTCATGATTGGGCTAATTTGGCTTAACGCTTGATATGCTGGTGATGATCTTTAAATTGGAGCCTGGAAGTGAAACAAATATAACTTAGTGGTGTATAAATATTGAGTTAAGGGCTACAAAACAGTCACTGGACTCAAGTATATATTATATTCATTCGAGTTAAGGTTACCTATTACTTTTAAGTGGTTATCGGAGACGGATGACGGTTCTGAAAAATATTGATCATATTACGATTTCTTTTTTTTTTCTGGAGATATTGTTATCAAACTATAACTATAATTTATCCATGGATGCAAGCAAGCATTTGCATGGCTCAAAGAACATTTGGGTTGTAGTGAATAAACTTATCATTGTATTTTAGGTGCGGTTTAAAGCAGGCACGTTTCGAAGATTTTCGTTTA